GATTACCAGTGGGAATGTAAGATTACCAGGGAATATGATTACTGGGAATGTTGTATTTTGTGTTTAGTTGGCTTAGCAGGAATGTAAGATTACCGTGTTTGGTTAAAGGAATAAAAGATTATTGGAATGTATATTTGACTAAATTGTCCTTATTATATATTTGTATAATATTACAAGTTATAAAATATTTATATATTTTCTTTTAAAATTTAAATTCATAATATTTATTTTTTTTACAAAATTAAAAATATAAAAAAGGTTTAATGAAAGGTTAAAATTTTATTTTAACCCCTAAACTTCATATAAAATTTTAATTATAGATTATTTTTTGTAAATCTAAAATAATTTAAGAATAAATTTGTAATTTAACCTTCGTAGAATTTTTATTATTCAATGACAGAAGAATGATATTTTTGAAAAAAAATAAAAATTTAAGGGTATTTTAGTCCAAAACACTGATAATCCAATAATACATAAGGAAAGGGAGGTAATGACATTCTCGGTAATATACCCCAAAAAATCCACTATTTGTAATCTCACATTACCGGGAATGAGATTCCCGGACTAACCAAACGTGGGAATGTGGATTCCATTCCCATGAGAATCCCACATTCCCCCATCCAAACACCCCCTAAGGATAATGTCTATTATTATATTTTGAAATATTTGTTTTTAATATACCTTCTTAAAAATTTATATCTTAATATAAAATATCACATCAATACTTGTTTATAAAACTTAATTATGATTGAGCAAGCACATTTGACCGGTTGATCAAGTTACTAATCTTTATTCTCTCATATTCTCTTAGAGAGGGGCGGAGCTCTCTTAAGGCCCAAAGGGACCCCGCCCCCCTATAAACTTTTTTATGTTTAATAGATTTTGATCTAATAGTATTTTAGTTCATGTAAAAATAAATACTTAAATTAAAAAAATATAAGAATTTATTAAATATTTAATCAAATAGGGGCCGAAGTAAATAATGATAATCCAATGTTCTCGATTTCTTTTGTTTAATTATAATTTAGGTCATTATAAGTTTAAATATTAGATAAATTAAACATTATCTTCTGATTTTTTTAGTTTAAATATCTAATAAGTCAATATATATTTTTCTTAAAAATTTTAATATTTCGACCCCTACCAATATCTAATAATGACACCGTCCCTACTCTTAGATCATATGTACTAGATATTCATTAGCAAATTAGACCGTCATGTAACTTAACCTAATAAAACTTAATAACCGGAAATTAACTACCCTGGATAACGTGTCAACCAAAACCTCAATCTACTTTTGAATATCCATCCAATGGGAATGTAGCACGTTGCATCTTAAGCCACGTAATTCATAAAACGTAGAAAGTAGAATTTGAAAGAAATAACCAGAAATTAACTACCCAGCTTATTGCGTAACGTGTCGATCAACGGGTACCATTCCTTTCGATATCCAATGAAAATCTAACACGTTGCATATGCCACGTAATCCACTAGATGTAGTCTTACTGGTAAAGTAGAATTTGAAAACATAAAGGATTAATTACGATTTTAGTACTAAACTATTTAGTTTTGGTACATTTTTATAGCTAAACTTTTAATTTTTCAAAATTATACCTAAAGTTTTTAATGGTGGAGTATTAAAATAAAAACTAAAAGTTAAATATAATTTAAGAGAATGAATATTTAAGTATTAAAATAATTAAATCTGATAATTTAGATACTAAATACGTTATTTACCCGAACATTAATAATTAACGTAAACTTCCACCCATTTTGCCTCTCCTTTCTTTCAGTCCATAAAACCAACAAGATCTGCGCGAGGTGTGCAACCGAGGAGAATTTACAAACAGCAACAACAATTAATATATAAATTCATGCGGGTCCCTTCACCACTAAACCGAGTCAAAAACAGTCTCCTTGAACAATTTCCCTGCTATAAAACCCAGGCTTTGTTCATCACCATCTCTCACGGCCTTCATATATTCTTCTTCTCATCATAGTCATCACTGAGAAAACACACAATATTTCATGGGCAACGCTGATTTTGTGTACACTTCCACGAGCGATCACCATCAGCAACAATGTACTCACCGAGTGGCGATTCCTCCGGCGCTGCCTTTCTTCACGTCGTTCAAGAACTCCCTCAAGGAGACTTTCTTCCCGGAAGACCCGCTCAGGCAATTCAAGAACAAAACACCTTCCAAGAAATTCATACTCGGCCTGCGATATTTGTTACCCATTCTCGAATGGGCCCCTCGTTACAGCTTACAGTTCTTGAAATCCGATCTCATCTCCGGGATCACCATCGCCAGCCTTGCCATCCCTCAGGGTATAAGCTACGCTAAGCTTGCTAACTTGCCACCCATTCTCGGCCTCTGTAAGTAAATAACTCGATTACATTAATCAACCTTCTTCTTCTTCTTCTTAACCCTTTTTTAAAAATGAAGATTCAAGCTTTATTCCGCCACTGGTTTATGCGATGATGGGGAGCTCAAGAGATTAGCAGTGGGGACTGTTGCTGTTGCATCGCTTCTCATTGCTTCCATGTTGGGGAAAGAAGTAAACGCCGCTGAGCATCCATCGCTCTACCTTCACCTTGCTTTCACTGCAACCTTTTTTGCTGGACTACTACAAGCTTCGTTAGGCCTTTTACGGTAAAAAAAATAGTTCATCGGTAAAGCTTCAACTAATCTTTGCATGGTAAATTAATTTTTACTTTGTTGATGCAGTCTAGGGTTTATCGTGGATTTTCTTTCACACGCGACGATAGTAGGGTTCATGGCAGGGGCAGCCACTGTAGTGATATTGCAGCAGCTAAAGGGAATCCTAGGACTTGAACACTTTACTAAATCTACCGACATTATCTCGGTTTTGCACTCTGTCTTCAGTCAAACTCATGAGGTTGTCTTCTTCCTTTCTTTCTTTCGTTTTCACTTTCCTTTTTAAATGTTGCTATCAAAGGTTAAAACTTGATCATTAATGGAATTATTGGGACTGTGGCAGTATTTTTCTATTACTTGAAATATATAATATGTGACATGTGATGGTACTTATATTCTTGCTATTAGTCACGGGCGGTTCAATGTTTATAGGGGTAAATTATACATTTAGTATCTAAACTATCACTTTGATCCATTTTAGTACCTAAACTTTTAATTTTTCAAATCATACCTAACATTTAGTTTTCATTTCATTTTGGAACACGCCGTTAAGTTTGTTTATTACCTAAACTATCAGTTTTGATCCGTTAGAACCTAAACTTTTTTTCCAAAAAGTAATGTTAAATTTTGAACGGATATTAGAACGAAATAAAAACTAAATTTTAGGTATATTTTAAAAGAAGTTAAAAGTTTAGATACCAAAATAGACTAAATTGATAGTGTAGGTACTAAAACGTGTAATTTATCCTATTTATAATTAGTACAATTATTAAAAACAAATCATTCGTGCATGGCGTATATAGTTTCCTGACGGTCGTAAAATGCGATGTTTGACGGTGGAGATGGGAGAGTGGTGTTTTGGGAGTAGGTTTCCTGTTCTTCCTCCTCGTCACCAGATATTTCGTAAGTATATCTCATCATTAATTTAATGTTTATTTTAGATAAATGGATCTAATATTTATTAAAATATTAATCATTGTATGATAAAACTGACTTGGATTAATGATTAAAACACGTAATTAAATTATCATAAGCTTTGAATACTTAACGAATTATACCTTAATATTTTCTTTTAAAAATTATGAAATGACCCTCAAAGCTTTGAGTTTTTTATTTCTCAAATAGATCTAATATTTATTAAAATATTAATCATTGTATGATAAAACTGACTTAGATTAATGAATAAAACAACGTAATTAAAATATCAAAAGCTTTGAATACTTAACGAATTATACCTTAATATTTTCTTTTAAAAATTATGAAATGACCCTCAAAGCTTTGAGTTTTTTATTTCTCAAATGATAAAGCATCTTCTCCCAAATTCCAACAGTAGAGAGGTGGAGAAGGAGGAAACAGAGTGTATATTTTTTGTTCCAAATATTATATAGATCAGTCTTGTCTGTCTAGCTCAGTTGGTAGAGCACAAGGCTCTTAACCTTGTGGTTGTGGGATCGAGTCTCATTGAGGGCAATTCATAACTGAGGTCTTTCACGGAAGTTACTCTCAACCTGGCGTTGGGGGCAGCCTACTACCCTACCTCCCCCTTACCCCATCATTACATATGGGAATAGAGTCAGCTAATTTATATTATATATAGATCAAACTGATTGGGGTTTCATTAATTTTAGGTGTAGGATTGAGTTTATGAGTTAAAGTGATTTAGTAAACTCGAATCTGATAAAGTGATATAAGACAACGAGGTGAGTTTTTCGATATCTTAAATGGTTAAAGAAGAAGCTGGAGAATGATAATTGTATCGCCGACGAGACAAAGATGAAATTTCAAAACTTTTATTTATGGAGGAAGAAGATAAAATAAAAAGAGAGAGAAAATGACTAGGATGACACATGACTAGGATGACACATGGGTTCCGTATCGATGAAAACCAATTCCCATAAGCACACATGGTTATCATGTCACAATTTTATTTTTAATTCAACATTCAGTGATTAAAATAGGAGCAAACCGGACGTTCATTGAGTAAATTTTTAAAAAAATGTAAACTTTAGTGACCAAATAAGAGTAAGAAGAAAGTTGAATGATTAGATTTACAATTCTCCCTTAATAGTAACAACCCACTTCTATAACTTCTCGGAAAGTAAAAGAATGAACTTTCCAATATTACATGATAGAAGAAGAATAATAAGGAAAGGGTTTCCCTTATTGGGTTGTTGTGGTCTTAAAATAGTATTTGCTAAGTGCCTAATTGTCCCTTAAAAAAACCCCTTTTTTATAGTAAACATATGCTTTACAAAGTCTTCAATTAGCCTCTAAACCTGCTCCCGCTGCATGTTCCCTCATTAAGTACATTATTCGCATTAATAGTATAATGTATTTGTTGGATACAAACAGAGCAAGAGAAGACCCAAGTTCTTCTGGATATCAGCAATGGCGCCTTTGACATCGGTCATCCTCGGAAGTCTTCTCGTTTATCTTACGCATGCCGAGAAACACGGTGTTCAAATTGTAAGCTTCTTAAACTTTTCAACTAAAAGATAAATAAAGGTCAAAATCTGGTTTTCACCCTTTTATTATGCTCAAATTCAGAGTTCAGTCCCTATAATGGTAAAAAAAGACAAAAAGACATTAAAGGTTATTGTATTTAAAAAAAACTATATAGCCCTCGCATTATTTGTTCTATCAATGGGACCTCCAATTCAAAAAATAAAGAGAAAATAACTTGAGTTACGTAAAATGCCTTATAATATACGATTTTAACAAACTTTTTTTGGATTTGCAAAAATAACCAACGAATTCACAACGCGAACTCCAATTTTGCAACACAGTTTCCAAATTCGCAACTCAGTTTTCAAATTCACAATTCGAATTCGGATTTCGCAACTCAATTACCGATATAGGTAAACAAGATAGAAAAAATCCGCAACTCGAATTCGCCAATTTCGCAACTTGAATTCGCCAATTTAGCAACTCAATTACTGATATAGGTAAACACGGTAGAATTCGAGTTGCGAAATTAGCGAATTCGAGTTGTGGATTTTCTCTACCGTGTTTACCTATATCTGTAATTGAATTCAGATTGCGAATTTGAAAACTGAGTTGCGAATTTAGGAAATTCTTGTTGCGAAATTGGAGTTCGTGTTGCGAATTCGTTGGTTATTTTTACAAATCCAAAAAAAGTTGGTTAAAATCTAATACTATAAGGCATTTTCGATCACTGAAGTTATTTTCTCAAAAATAAACTTAGGGGGCGTTTGGTTCAGGTCATATTGGATTTCCGGAGGGAATGGAATGTCATTCCCGTTTGGTTGGCAAACATTCCCAACCCCCGATATTAAGTTATTCCCCAACAGTGGTATTTTGAGAGTATATTACCGGTAATGTGATTACCCAATTCTCTTAGGTATTGTTACATTCTCGGTGTTTTGGACTAAAATGCCCTTATTTTTTTTCTCAAAAATATCCTTCTTATGTCATTGAATAAAAAAATTCTACGAATGTTAAATTACAAATTTATCCGTAAACTATTTTAGATTTACAAAAAATGTCCATAATTAGAATTTTATATGAAGTTCAGGGGTTAAAATAAAATTTTACCCTTCCATTAAACCTATTTATGTTTTCAATTTTGTAAAAAAAATTATATAAATTTTATGAATTTAAATTTTTTAAAGAAAATATTTAAATTAATTATAGTAGAATTCGACTTGTTAAAAAAATAAATATATAATAAAGATAATTTGGTAAAATATACATTCTAATAATCTTTTATTCCTTTAACAAAACATTGTAATCTTACATTCTTACTAAACGAACAAAACACAACAATGTAACATTCTTAGTAATCTTATTTCCGCCGGTAATCCTATTCCCGCCAATAATTTTATATTTCGTGAATCAAACACACATTTAACAAAAAAAATTAATAAATTTTTTTTATCGTTAATCGTTAGGATATTAACGTAATAATTTATTACGATAGAGAAATATGTTAAACTAATAACTCAAATAGTACCGTGTTCAGCCCTACATCAGTACCATACCTTTTTACTTAAAAGTTGACTTATTCTACGGGTTTAGGTAAGTTGTCAACGCGCGACCCAAACTGACATGATAATTGTTTAGTGTGTCCCACCAATAATGATGCCCATGTACCCTTCTGATCTATTGGATAGGTCCCAATGCAAGCACATAATCTTTTGCTATCTGGGGCAGCCCAAGTATTTATTGTCACATTATCTCGTATTTGTATTTTTATTGTTTATGTCACGTCTGATGAAACAAGAAGACAGAGTTTGTGGTTTATTGAAATTGTGATTGTGTGATAATGGCAGATAGGAAACCTGAAGAAAGGGTTGAATCCACTGTCCTTTGGTGATTTGGTGTTTACGACGCCGTATATGACCGCGGCCCTGAAAACTGGGATGGTCACCGGCATCATTGCTCTTGCCGTAAGCTGCCTTCTAATTCTCTCTTATATTATTGCCAAAACTTCAGCTTTAGTCCCTGTACTTTGAAAAAAATTGAGCATTAGTCCCTGCCTGTTGGTCGTTGTGAATTTCATACAGGAAGGGATAGCTGTGGGAGAAGCTTTGCGATGTTCAAGCACTACAATATCGACGGAAACAAAGAAATGATAGCCATTGGTTCAATGAACATCGTTGGTTCTTGCTTTTCTTGCTATCTCACTACTGGTAAAGCTTTTTTTCTTCTTCTTTTATTCATGTGATTATATTTCATTGATTCGACTTGTTAATGGTGCCATTGTCGACATGTATATATCAGGGCCATTTTCACGATCCGCCGTTAATTTCAACGCCGGTTGCAAAACGGCGATGTCCAACGTGATCATGGCCAGTGCGGTTATGCTCACGTTGCTGTTCTTGACACCGTTGTTCCATTACACTCCCCTCGTAGTGTTGTCGGCGATCATAATCTCCGCCATGCTCGGCCTCGTCGATTACGACGCTGCCATCCATCTCTGGAATGTCGATAAATTCGATTTCCTTGTGTGCATCGGCGCGTATATCGGCGTCATTTTCGCCAGCGTCGAGGTCGGCCTAGTCATAGCGGTCGCAATCTCCGTGCTGAGGCTGCTGCTGTTCGTCGCCAGGCCGAGGACTTTCGTTCAGGGAAACCTCCCGAACTCAACCATCTACAGAAACGTCGAGCAATATCCGAATGCGAATTATGTTCACGGTGTTCTAATACTCGAGATAGACGCTCCCATTTACTTTGCCAACTCAAGTTACTTGAGAGAAAGGTACTAAATTTACACCATGGTAATTCTAATATAAAATTTTGCGTTTGTTCATTCGATCGAATCGAATACAATTTATGTTTGGTCTTATCAGGATAACAAGGTGGATCGATGAAGAAGAAGACAAGCTGAAATAAACAGGGAAAACCAACAGCTTACAGTTTGTCATACTGGACATGACGGCTGTTGGTAACATTGACACCAGTGGAATAAGCATGCTTGAAGAGGTTAAGAAAATTACTGACAGAAGGGAGATCAAGGTATTTTTTGGGTAAACTACGAGCTTAGTATCTAAACTATCAGCTTTAGTCCGTTTTAGTACCTAAACTTTTAATTTTTTCCATAAACTTTTAATTTTTTCTAAATTATATCTAAAAGTTTAATTTTTATTTTATTTTAGTATCATGTTAAAAACTTAAAGTTATGTTTTGAAAAAAATTGAAAGTTTAGGTACTAAAACAAACTAAAATTAAAAGTTTAAGTACTAAACCATATTAAAATTGATATTTTATATATTAAACGCGTGATTTACTCTATTTTCCCTTGCAATTGGTTTTGAATGTATATTTTTTTCACCGGAAAACATGTACTGATTTGTATATACATGTAATGTTTTAGCTTGTATTGGCAAACCCTGGGGCCGAAGTGATGAAGAAGCTCAACAAGTCCAAGTTCCTGGAAAATATAGGTCAAGAATGGGTACATTTGACGGTCGGAGAAGCGGTGAATGCCTGCAATTACAAGCTTCATACGTGCAAACCGGCGGAATCGCAACCGTGGAACAATGTCTGATTAAGCTAACTAGAATGTTCATGCAACCGAGAATCAGGGTGCATGGCATGTTTAGGCTGAATCGACAGGGAATTAACCATGTTAAAAGCCTAGATTTTTGTTTCTCTTTTCTAACAGTTTGCAAATTGTACGATGATGCATGTCGTGGCAATGTAATTTTAACAAGAAAATAAAATAAAATATCATCAATTGATTAAGTATTGATCTTGTCACGGAAAATAATCGGTGAAATCGGTGAAGAGCGATTATTTGTTGTTACCAAAAAGTAAAATGTTTAAAAATTTAATGGTAAAATCCATATATTTCTAAAACTTAGTGTCTAGAACAATATCGTTTTGAGTATTAATAATCATAGTCAAAATGATGTCGTTTTGCCCATATCATTCTTTTGACAGAAAAATTTATCCATATTATTAAACTATTAAAATTTAATCATCTGATGATATAATTGAAGTTAAAATAAAATTTTAATATTATAGTTGAAGAAATTAAAAATTTAATGATATATGATCCAAAATAAGGTGGCATTTAGTCTAGTTTATTTTAAATTTTAAGATAAACGAACGGTACTCCGATTATAGGTTACTAGTTTAGGGTAAACGAATGGCCCTTTCTTTCCGGCTATCGTTTCCCTTTTCCGTAAAAGAACGAGAATATAACGCGACTGTTTCCGTAGGTCCTTGATGGGAAGCCTTACAGCAGGAAATGCGATGTGTACAGCTTTGGTAGATCCTTATGGGAAATATACTGCTGTGATATGCCTTATGTTGATCTTAGTTTTTCTGAAGTTTCATCAGCAGCAGTACGGCAGGTACAAGTTACTCTTAGGCTCCGATACTTCCGGTAGTACCGTCCAATGGTACATATGTTAACGACATCGGATATCGTTCGTTGCAGAATTTACGACCCGAAATTCCTCGGTGTTGCCCGGGATCATTGGCGAGCATCATGCGGAAATGCTGGGACGGGCACCCCGAGAGACGTCCCGACATGGACGAGGCGGTGAGATTGCTGTAAGCAGTGGATACAAGCAAGGGATATGGCATGATATTGATACCTGATGACAAATCTCTTGGTTGTTTCTGTTTCACCCGTCGTGGCCCGTGATAAAACTTTAGCTCATTCATTTATTTTAGGGTAAACTAAGTATTTAGTACTTAAACTATCAGTTTTTGTCCGTTTTATTACCTAAACTTTCAATTTCTATACCTATTGTTTAGTTTTCATTTTATTTTAGTATCTCACCGTTAAAAATTTAACATGTTTAGCACTTAAGCAATCAATTTTAGTATGTTTTTATACCTAAATTTTCATTTTTTTTAAACTTGACGTTTAATTTTAAACGGGGTACTAAAATGAAACAAAAACTAAAGTTTTTAACTGCGAGTACTAAAATGAAACAAAAACTAAACTTTAAGTATTAAAATGGATTAAAACTAATAATTTAAGTACTAAATATGTAATTTACCCTCTACTTTATCGTAAATTTTAGAGACAAACGTGAAGCGGTTGATTGTTTGGTTCTTGCTAGTATTTCGAGAACGTGGTCGTTGATTTCTATACTGCACATAGGGGTGGGAATAGGCCAGGCCAGGTCAGGCTTTAATAGGCCTGAGCCTGACCTACAATGATTTTTGTAGGCCTGAGCCTGACCTGTGGCATGTCAAAGGCTTTTATTTAGGCCTGACCTGACCTGTTTAAAAGTCTGGCCTGTTTAAAAGCATGTTTAAAAGTCTGTTTAACAATAAACATATAATATTTTCAGTTTAGTTATTAATTTTAGAGTAAAATACCTATTAAGTCACTCTAACTTAGTGCATTTTACAAAGTAATCACTCTAAATAAGCCGGCCTATCAGGCTTATAAGGTTTTTTAATAGGCCTAAATCTGACATATTTAATTAAATAGGTTTTTAAAAGGCCTGAGCCTGACCTTTTTACTAAATAGGTCAGGTCAGGCCAGACTTTATACATACCAGGCCGTAGGCCTTGTAGGCCGGCCTGGCCTATTCTCACCCCTAACTGCACATGAATATAATCGTATTGTTTACCACGTATATTAAGTAGTATGTGCAGGTAAAGCTTTGAATACATACCCTTTCTGTCTTTAAAAGTGGAAGCAGATAAAGATGCATGGCATGGAACATTGGGAGATGTTTTGTTCATAATGTTTGGGTAAAAAGTATTTGATACCTAGTATTAGTTTTGGTCCGTTTTAGTACCTAAGAGTTTTATTTTTCAAAACATACCTTGCGTTTTGTTTTCATTTCATTTTAGTACCCTTCCATTAAAAACTTAACGCTATTAGTACCTAAATTATAAGTTTTTATCCGTTTTAGTACCTAAACTATTAATTTTTTTTAAAACTTAACGTTAAATTTTGAGCAGTACTAAAATGAAACAAAAACTAAAGCTTTTAATGGTGGGATACTAAAATGAAACAAAACTAAACTTTAGGTATAATTTAAAAAAAAATTAAAAATTTAGGTATTAAAACATATAAAAATGATAGTTTAGATATTAAACGCGTAATTTACCCTAAATGTTTTAGATATGCAACTAATATACTCGCATGACTTTATTAATTATACTTTATAAATAGGGAGAATAGAACTTGATTCTATTTCAAAATTTTGGTTTTTTTTATTATTTTGAATTACTCGAATCAAATCAAATTTTTGGTTTAGATTTCAAGTTCGAATCAATTTTAAATTTGTAAAATTTAAATAAATGAAAGTTAAAATAAAATTATTTTATTCTTTAGTTAATTTGTTTGATTATTTTATGATCCATAATTTTCTTAGGAGTAAGGTTTTATCTTCTATAAGTTTTGGAACTACAAACTCAAATAATACAAATATGTTATGAAAAAATATGGAAAATTCCATCAGAGAGGTGGGCATAAACACCCTTGGGTGGTCGACAGGGAAGGTTAAGGAACATAAAGAATCTTGGTGGTGGAACGACGAAATTCAAACTAAGGTGAAGACAAAGTAAACTTGCTTCAAGGAGTTCATACAATGCAATGACGACGAAGAAAGATCGAGAGCTAAACAAAGATACAAGGAGGCAAAGCGGGAAGCCAAGAAAACAGTGGCTAAAGCAAAGGAAAGGCATATGAAGTAAGGTACAAGAGATTAGACACCAAGGAATGACAAACGACATCTTCAAGCTTGCAAAATCCAGGGAAAATAGGAAAAAGGATCTAGGTAACATTAGGTTTATTAAGGACAACAATGGTGTTCTTTTAGTGAAAGATAATGATATTAAGAGGGTTTGGGTAGCTACTTCTTTGGCTTATTTAATGATGGTGCTCCTCCCTGTAGAGATAGTATCGTTGATGGGTCAGCCGACCATCATACTACGACTAATGACTGTCCTACAAGTAGGATTGGGTTTGAGGAAGTCAAAATGGCTTTTAGAAAGATGGGGAGGGACAAAGCTGTCGGACCGGATCAGATTCCTATCACTTTGTGGTTGTCCCTAGGAGAAGAGGGAGTTAAGTGGTTGACAAACATATTTAATATTATTTTAGAGACTTTCAAGATGCCAGAGGAGTGAGAGAGTCTACGGTGATACCAATCTATAAGAATAAAGGAGATCCCCAACGTTGTGGCAACTACAGAGGTATTAAAAACTACTCAGTCATACCATGAAGCTATGGGAAAGGGTGATAGAGGCTAGGTTGAGACAGGTTACTAGGGTTTCGGAAAACCAATTTGGCTTTATTCCAGGCAGGTCTACTACGGAGGCGATTCATCTACTTCGACGACTTATGGAGAAATATAGGGAAAAAATATAGATCTTCACATGGCGTTCATTGACCTTGAAAAGGCGTATGATAACGTTCCACGCGATACGATCTGGAGGACCTTAGAAACGAGACGGATCCCAACTGCTTATATTCAGGCGATTCGTGATATGTACTGTAGATCTACTACTTACGTCAGGACTACAGTTGGCGACACCGAGGCATTCCCGGTGGAAATCGGACTCCACCAGGGGTCGGCTCTTAGCCCTTACATCTTTGCCTTGATTATGGACGATATCTATTCTGCGACACCAGACAGTATTCCATGGTGTATGCTTTTCGCTGACGACATTGTCCTAGTAGCTGAAACAAAAACTGAGCTGAATAGAAGACTGGCTTCTTGGAAGGCTGCTTTGGAATAAAAAGGTCTAAAGATCAATATTGAAAAGACAGAGTTTGCTCAAACTTCAGTGGGAACCAAAACGATGTTGATGTAGCAGTATGTATAGACGGACACGTGATCCCCTCAAAGGAATGTTTCAAGTACCTAGGGTCTATGATACATAAAGATGGGGGTGTAGATGATGACGTTACACATCGTATAAAGGCGGGATGGTTAAAGTGGAGGGCTGCTACTGGAGTTTTGTGTGACAAGAATGTGCCTTTAAAACTTAAGGGAAAATTTTATAGAATGGCAATAAGACCAGCGCTGCTGTATGGATCAGAATGTTGGGCAATCAAGAAGGATCACATAAGGAGGATGGAGGCCGCAGAAATGAGAATGCTTCGATGAACATGTGGTAGGACTCTATGGGACATGACACCAAACTCTGCTATTAGGATGTCCTTGGGGGTGGTGTCTGTATCCAAAAAATCAAGGGAGGGAAGACTACGGTGGTTTGGGCATGTCCATAGGCGACAACCATCGGATGCGGTCAGGAGGGTTGAGTCGATTACAGTCGACGGTGCCAGAAGAAGAGGACGACCAAGGCGGAAGTGGGAAGACTGCTTGAGATCTGATTTGAAGGATTTAGCCATTACCGAGGACATGACCTCTGATAGGAAAGTATGGAGACTTAAGACCAGGGTAGCCGAGTAGTGCGGGTCACAGAAATAGGGTGTAACATATGTCTTCTTTTTAATGCCTCTGTAATAATTTTCATGACTTCTACTTTATATACGTGTCTGTTATTATAATTTATGAAGGCGTAGAACTAGGGTAGCAGATTAGTGTTGCTTCAGTTTATGTTTTAACCCATTTGACTTTATTCCTTCTCGTAGCTTTCTATCGTTTGACCATTTTGTATCATTCTCTTCAGGTTCCCTCTTTTTAAATTTAGTCGGACCTTACGTTTCTGTCTATATGCAGAGATTTTTACGCAGGGATGTATTTGCAGGGATTACTCCCCATTACAGACGAGCATATTGAAGACTACATAGGAAGACTTTTCAACTATGTATTTAGTTATTTATTTATTTATACATGCATTGTATTTTATCTTTATTTTTAATTTTCTTCCTGCGGGAGGTCTTCCACGGAAGCTGCTCTCAATCCTGACGTTGGGGGCAGCCTACTACCCTACCTCCCCCTTACTCCATTGCACATGAGAATAGGGTTTTGTTGTTGTTGTTTAATTTCTCTTTGTTTTGAATCTTTTCATTTAGATTTGTATCGGATGTTTCTTAATCGTGATGAAATATTCACATTATTATTATTATTATTATCATTTTACAATTTATTATTTAATTTTATTTTATTCAACGTAATATTTTAATCGTGATAAAATATTAGACTAAAAAAATTAATTACTCATAAAATATATTGATTTTAATCGTGATGAAATATTCACATTAAATATTGTTCTTTTGGGTTTCGAGAGTGGATCCAAATTCATCTGTTATCCATTTGGGGGCCCAAATTACGTAGAACCCTAATTTTTTTTATTAAAAAACCTCGAATTCGCATTCCCTCGCTACAGCCGCCTGCGAAAAGCTCAAACTTATCAGATAACTGAAGAATTCCGTTGCCATAAACCTTCCTAATGGAGATAGACCCCAAAACTGATTCTGGAGATGACGCCCTCGTTTTGGTTAAGCAAGGAGCTGAAGCTGTAAGTTCAAAATGCTCCCCTTTTCTTTCCAAGATACAACACGAGAAGGAAGATTGTTCCAATTTTTGTTCAATTTCTTAGTTTTGTTTCCCATTTACAGAGAGTTTTCGAGTCGGTGTTCGCGGGAAAAAAGTCCATCGTCAAAGAGCGTTTCTCCAAGAAATACAGGCATCCTTCTCTCGATTCCAAGCTCACTCTCAAGCGCTTAAACGCGGTTCGTTTTCCCTCCCTCCAAACCCATTTGTTTTTGTAAAGTTCAATCGAATAAATTCTTGTTTTGTTCGGAGCAGGAAGCTAGGTGCACGACAAAGGCGCGGCGGCTTGGCGTTTTGACTCCGGTTCTTTACGCCGTCGATCCTGTGCTCCATACCCTGACTTTCGAGTACGTGGAAGGGCCTTCCGTCAAAGACGTTTTCCTCGGATTCGGGTCAAACGGCGTTGTTCAAGAACGTTTAGCCGATATAGCCACTCAAATTGGCGACGCAATAGGCAAACTCCACGACGGTGGACTTGTTCACGGTGACCTCACCACGTCAAACATGTTAATCAGAGATGGAACTAATATGCTCGTCAGTGGTTATATTTTTCTCTTTAATCAGCTTTGGGTCTGCATTAGTTCAAAGTTAATCTCAAACGAACCTTTCCATTTTTGTTTAGGTCCTTATCGACTTCGGTCTTAGCTTTACATCAACGCTCCCAGAAGACAAAGCAGTCGACTTGTACGTGCTGGAGCGAGCTTTGATTTCAATGCATTCTTCGTGTGGGAATGTGGTAAGAAACCAAGTAGTTCTTTTACATCGGCATTATGCAAAAACATGGAAGTGTTGTAGAAGATTAGCCTACATTAGTGCTTAAATTGAGGCATAGATGGATCTAATTGATGCATAGATTAGCCTACATGGAAGTGTTAATCTCAAAGGGTCGTTTTTAGTGAACCTTATCTTCTAATTGGTGCTTAAATTGATGCTTAAATTGATGCATAGAATAGCCTAAATGGAAGTGTTAATCTCAAAGGGTCGTTTTTAGTGACCTTATCGTCTAATTGGTGCTTAAATTTATGCATAGCTTAGCCTACATGGAAGTGTTAATCTCAAAGGGTCATTTTAGTGAACCTTATCGTCTAATTGGTGCTTAAATTTATGCATAGCTTAGGCTACATGGAAGTGTTAATCTCAAAGGGTCATTTTTAGTGAACCTTATCATCTAATTGGTGCCTAAATTGATGCATAGATGGACCTCATACTTGCTGCATACAGAAGTCGTCGAAGCAGTGGTGTTCCACATTGAACAAGCTAGCTCAAGGTACTGCATTCTCTGATCCACTCTTGGACCGCTCCATTTTTAAGCTTAGTAATTCCTTTACCCCTCCAGGCTCCATCTACATCATCCCTAATCTCTTTTATTGTGTTCTTGTTTTTTTTTTCCACGATGAACTGCAGTTCGACAAAGGGGCCGCAAGCGCACAATGGTTGGATGAGCCATAGATGGACCATAAGGTAGGGGAATCGGTTAATCTTTTGATTTAATGCAATGGAGAAGAAAGGTGGTTAGTAATTTAGAATCACTATGTTATAGTTCCTGTATATTGCTCTTGTTTGGATCATTGGACTTGATCATGGTGTATAAGTACATTATTTGTTTCAACTTGGGGGAATTCTGTATTCTATTTAGCTTTTACGCGAATGAAGTTATTTTAATTGTTGTATTTGTGCATGCAAGTCAATCGTACACAAATCTTTAATTTAGTTTACATATAATTGTTTTTATATTATACAAATTATAAATAATTATTTGGTTACATTATATGTAAACGTAATATGATTATATATCAATAATGTTTCAATGGTTTACAAAAATTCAATCTAATCTAAGTTTGTTGTATACAATTACACAATCAAATTTCAAGTATTACCTTACACGTTTGATCAGAACTATCTTCAACCTACACTAGTGTCATTTATTTGGGTGCTACCTAAAATATTATAAAACTTGTAACATTTTTGGTTGAACCGAAAATGTTACGAAAAAAAAGTTAATACTTTAGGTTGCGTCCAACTTAAAATGTTGAGTTATATAACATTTTTGGTCGTGTTTTTCCTTTGCCTTAAATTAGGTTGTCTTTTTTTAGACTCTCCCGGACCCATTTGCTTCATCTCTTGTTACAAAGTTGTTTAGATTTCAAAAGGAGAGAGCATAAAAGATAATAAATGTTACTCCCCCTCGTTAGTTTAATGATGTTGAACTGTTCATGTGGTGGGGAGCCCTTGGCAAAGGCACAAGCAAATTCCCAGAATTAGACCAGTACTAGCTCAAAAGTCATTTAGCATTTAGAGGCAACCATTGATCTTAATAATGCAGATTTCACTTCCCTTGCTGGACTTCTTTTTATAGCTGGTGGGTTTTCAGTAATAATGGAGTTAACCATGAAAGCATTGTGATACCAATAATCATAGACGTTAATCTTAATTTCTTGCTAAGAGGTTTGCTTAGTAAATAATTCTCTGAGATTTTACTTTCATTTGCTTAAGACACCAAGAACATCAAAGTCAAATAGGTTACCAGATTGCAAATTTTATCGATATTTAGGGTCTGTTTATTTCACTGAAATGTTATGAGTTTGCATTACTAGCTACAGTTTTAAAGGGACACATGTAGTATAAGAACCCCATTAAATATGGGAAAAAAGATTACCATCCGTGATACAGTTGGTGGGAATTCTCTCTGTATTTGAGGCCAGTTTTTTATTAGGGTAAATTACACTCTTTAGTACTTAAACTATCAGTTTCGATCTGCTTTAATACTTAAACTTTCAATTTTTTAAAATCATACTTAAAGTTTAGCTTTTGTTTCATTTTAGTATCCACCGTTAATACTTTAATTTTTGTTTTAATTTAATGCCCCGTTCAAAATTTAACGTTAAGTTTTGAACGGACCAAAACTGATCGTTTAAGTATTAAAATGAAATAAAAACTAGACAATATGTATGTTTAAAAAAATAAAAATTTAAATACTAAAAACAGACTAAATCTTATAATTTAAGTATTAAATATGTAACTTAATTTTTTATTATTTGTGAAGCATCTTAATTAAAAGTTTAAATACGTAGCTTAACTGACACATGACTGGTCCGATAACTTCGATTGCCAAACAACTGACGAGTTAAAAGAATGAGCCATAATACTCCAACCACCACTTATCATTAACCATTAGTCTTTCTTAATTTCAAAACCATCACCTGATATTGGACATATAAAATATAAAATTGAATTATTCAAAAATATTAGGAAAGACCCTTTGAGAGTTGATTCACAGGGACTCTTCGTGTAATTTAAAATCATTTATACCTGTTTAATTAATTGTTAAAATAAAATATTTTTTTATTAATATGGAACGATTAAAAGATATAATATATGTTTTAACGATCTTCAATCACTTGACAATGAATGTTTAAACAGTCCCATAGATGTTGTGTTCAAACGAACTTTAATATAAAAATCATCTCTTTAGCAAAGCATTTGATGGGTAAAATATGAGTTTAGTACATAAACTATCAGTTTTGGTCTATTTTAGTATCTGAGCTTTTAATTTTTGAAAGATCTTCAATCAGTTTTGGTACCCTGACATTAAATACTTTAATTTTTATTTCATTTTAATATTTCGTTCAAAATTCAACATTAAGTTTTAAAGAAATAAAAATTTAGGTACTAAAGTACTAAACGTGAAAGTTTCTAATGAAAAGTTATTAGAAATGAAATAAAAATAACCGTTAGATATGACTACGAAAAATTAAAAATTAAAATATTAAAAAAAATAATTTAGATACTAAATAATACAAATATTATTATGGTGATGATTGGGGGGGGGGGGGGTTTTGAAAATAAGCTCATAAGAATGCCAGATGGAAAGGGTTTGGTTCACAAGTGAAGAAGGTGGACCTTTGATTGATGGGCGCTATACATAAATTCAGGGCTGGGAGAAGGGTAAAAAATGGAATGACTGTGACAAGATCTTTACTATAAAGCTGTGTGAAGTCCAAATTGTAGGGTGAAAACCAATTTGTTTTTTAACCGCCAGGTGAAAAAACTTCACATCAACATGAAACAACATTTTTTTCCATTATTTCAATCAATTTTTTATCCTTTATAATTTTATTTTGTTATTCCAAAATAGAATTTTGGTATACTAACAAATCTTATATTTTTATAGAAATAATAGATGTATAAAATCGATTCAAAATTTAATATACATAAAAATGCAATTTATTTTATTAATTTATGGTAATTATATAGTAGTATCTATTTGGCAACAAACATTTAAATACTTTATAATTTCCGATGCTCTAACCTAAAATTTATAGGAATAATAACCATTTCTTTAACTATTGCAGTAACTTGGGTCGTGCATATAAAAATATAATTATATTTAGGCAAAAAGGCACTAGAGATCCTTGTACTTTTGAAGAAAAAAAACAATGTAGCCCTCATATTATTTTTCCCTCTCAATATGGACTTCCAACTCAGTAAACAAACTTAATGTGACCCTTTGACCAATATTTTTTTCGTCGTTAACCATTACGGTGTTAGTGTGACAGTTCACAATGCTGACATGACGGTCCATGATACTGACGTAGCAGTCTATTGCTATGTTTGAGTTACCAATTTAGCTCATTTGTCATGTTTTCCGTCACGTTATTAACCACCGTGGACCGCCACGTTAGTACAGTGAACTGCCAAGTCAGTATTGTAACGGTCAACGATGAAAAATATTTAACAAAGGATCACACTGTTTTTCTTAAAAAAAGTCTGGGGATCTCATATGCATTTTTGCGTTATATTTATCAATTTAATGATTGAATCATTAAAATATTAATATTATATAAACTAATAACATTATAGGGAAAACAAATGGATGATGTTAGCTTTGATTAGATGTCAATCATGAATAAAAAGAAGAAGAAAAAGAAGAAGGCTAAATTACATTGAGTGAGCTCTATCTCCAGCTTTTGCTAAAATGGGTGCCACGTGGAAAGGGTGACTTAGGTATCGACAACTATGACATGGACAAGTTCCTCGACAACTTATAATTGGGACCAAATGGCACCAATGTCGATGGTGGAACCTTCACCCTTTTAGCCTTAGATTAATGGATTGTGTTAAGGATTCCCATTTTTCCCTTGGAGTGTTTGCCGTCAACTTCATTAGTTTAATCCTTTGTTAATTAACTTCAAAACATAAGCAAATAATACAAGGAGACTGCTTGAAAAGGGGGGAATGTAGGGGCTTTTGCTTACGGAACAAGACCAGTTTCCTTCATGTACATAGCAGTCTTAAACTGTCAAAAATCTCTCTTTTTTTTCATTCGAATTATCGAAGTAGGATTTAACACTAAAAAGTAATACTCGAGTAGAATAATCGATATTTTATTTTGATCGAGTAGAGTATGGAGTTCGAGTCTTATGCATGTAGAAAATAACGTGGAAGAGTTTGGTTTCATTTTTAGGGAACATTTAATGACCTCCTGAACAACAAGAAGGCCCCTATTTACAAGTAGACATACTTATTTTTGAAATAGGAGCTTTCCAAGCACCCAATGCTTGAAACCTGAGTTGTTATGGCAGAATGAAAACCGCCGAGCAGCTAAAGGAAAAACTGGTCTGTTTCTGATGGACACAAGCCTAGATCGAGTCAAAAGGGCCTCCGAATTGGATAGCAGGCTTCAACAGTGACTGCTAAAAGAGCAGCAAAGCTGAAGGTTTCGAGGAGATTGGAGGGTTAAAAAGCAAAGGAACACATTGGAGACACAGCCACCCATTCCTTTGGCACAAACATTCTCTCCTATTGATGTTTGAAAGACCAAAAACCCATGCTTAAGCGACAGTCCCTTGAGTCCCTCACAAAATGTTCCCTCTAAACTTCCCCATATGGGTTCATGTCTTAAGGTCAAGTTCTTGTTTTGGTCCTTTTACCATGCTAAAATTTGAGATTTAGTGCTTATATAAGTCAACCAAGGCTTGAGAGATAATAGAACAAAATGTTGGTATATTATTGAGATAAAGCATTGTTTTCTAATCTTTCTATTGCTTCTTTAACCTCTTTTTTTGCCCTTTAAGGGAGACCAAATGTGGGAATGGGAACAGCTTTGGGGGCATATTAGACTAAGACAATGCCTAACTTAAAGGTTGCTGATATCTCCACTTCCCATTCCCCATTTGCTCTGAAAGCTTTGCCTTTGTTTTAGACTGTAGGGGGGAGAGAGAGAGAGAGCGAGCAGTGAAAACCCATGCTCGCTTGCACTTTATTCTCTTCAAGTTCGATACTTTGCACTGTACCCTGAACGAGGTTTTTGTTTCAATAGAGAGAGCTCTAAGCTAACTTAAAGGAACCCCCGAAAAAAAAAAAAAAACTATCTTTTCTATTCTTCCCGTCTCTCTCCCTCTTTTATATGTCCAATATTGTCTTGTTCTATCCTCAGAATCTCTTATTTTCATTTCCTCTCCTAAGTTGTTGTTGTCCCTTTCTGTTTCTCTCTTTAGTCTTCTCCGGCAAAGCTGCAAACGCTTCACAAGTGAAAGACAACTTGTTTTCACCTTGTTTAGAATGAAATAGATGATGATAAAAAGCATGGAACTTCCTTTGTTCCCTCACTTGTTTTCTATTCATTGCCTGGGGAACAGAGGTTTACCCTTCTCTTATCCTAAGCTCTCATTCAAAATTATCCCACTTTTCTCCCATTATCTTCTAAAAGTTCCTGTTTTCGAAGTTCCCATCTTTGTATTTGTCTTTGTTTACATTTGGACGAAACGTCTGAGAATATCAAGTTATAGTTGAACCAATGGAGCAACTTCACGAAAATCGTAATTATTGCTAGGCTATATGAAAGTTGTGAAACAATGGGAGATGGGAACTCCAAGAAGAGCAAGGTTATTCTTCTTCTTCTTTGAGACAAGCTACAATCTCATTTGATTCTTATGTCATTTTATGTATTGTAAGCTATTGATGTTAAATGTATATTTCCTGATGAAGCTTTCATGGCCTAAGAGGTTGGTTAAGAAATGGTTCAACATCAAGAGTAAAGCTGAGGACTTTCATGCTGATGATGTTGATCATGGAGGTGATTCTTTGATTGGGTTTTTAGTCTTTTATTTTTCCTGTTTTATTGCATGTTTTAAGATTATACACTTGGTTTTTGGATTTGAATCTTCGTTAAATTTTTGTTTTTAATTTCAGTCATGGGTTTGATTCTTGGATTTGCAGTTCAAGATCCATGAGTTACTTTCTTCCTGTTTCTAAAATCCATGTTATTTGTTTTTTATGGGTGTTTGAATATGTGAAATTGATTCTGAGCAGCTTTAACAGCTTTGTAGTTCTTCTTTTTCAGGTGTTGATGAGACTGGGGCTCAACTTCACAGATAGGGAGGCATGCACTATCAAGAAAAGCAAAACAGGTTTGATTTGGAATCACACTCCACTTTAGTGATTGTTTTGGTCCTTTTTGGACCACATCTCTCTCTTCATGTCACCTCTTATGGAACTTTCAATTTAACCGATACTAAAATGTTTTTCATATTGTTTCAATCATTTCAATTTAATGAATTTTATGCTAGAGAGACCGAGCAAGAGGTATTCTGATCGAGTTCGACGATGTAAAATTGATCCTGATGTCTCGCAATTTGCAGATGTGCATAATTATAGGTATGCGGTTTATTCTTAGAACTTGATTGCTTTCTAGTGTTATGTTGTTTCTCAATAGGATTTGGTTTAAAGTGTGTTTCTTTGTTCCACATTGGTATAGGATATTTGTAGCTACAGGAATGTGGCTGGAAAATCACCCCCTGGTCATTTGAATCTGGAAGATTGGCTTCCTACCTCTCCTCCTGCTGACATTTATGTACTTGGGTATGCGAAACCGATCCAGATTTATTCTGCATCTCAATGTGTCAATTCTTTTGAACAAACTAGTTTTTTTGGTATTGACAGAAGCCTTTTGGATCCCTTCCTTTGGCCTTTCTTAGGTTTCAAGAAATCGTTCCTTTAAATGCGGGTAATGTTTTGGGCACTGAAGACAATGGACCGGCTAGGAAATGGCTAGCTCATTAGGAGGACTCTGAACAGTTCCTGGAACCAGTGGTGACTTCCATACACCTTCACCTGTCCCTTACCCTCTTGTAGAACTAGATGCGGACTTTGAAGGGTCAAGGCCGGAAGCTTCATCTTTCTTTCACCGCCGGTCATTTCAGTCATTGAGTCGTAGCATGAGAATGGATAACGACATGGCGATGCCACACAACCGAGGCTTGATCGCCGCTTCAGTGTTTGTGATCGTGTTGTCCTTGGGCATAGACTGAGTGATTATGACCCTAAATTCAGATGGGGTTCCTCGATGATGAGAATGTAGCTGGAGATTCACCAGGCAATGCTCACTATTCCGAATATTCTCCAATGTCCTATGGTGGATCTTTTGCATTTGAGGAAAGCAATAGGCCGATGGAGCATTCAAGGTACTGTTTGGTTGCTAGCAAGCAAATGGTAGGGATATTTCTAACAGTATGGGTGAAGAGTGATCTTAGAGACGACGTTCGCAACTTGAAAGTGTCTTGTGTTGGCCGAGGATTGATGGGTTATCTAGGAAACAAGGTGCACCTTTGCCTATTGAACTCTTGGTTTGATAGATTTTGTTGAACTAAAGATAAGGAAGCATGCTCATTTCTTTGGTTTTACAGGGTTCCATATCTATTAGCATGTCTTTGCATCGAACCAGCTTTTGCTTCGTCTGCAGTCATTTAACCTCGGGGCAAAAGGAGGGTGATGAGCTGCGAAGAAACTCCGATGTTATGGAGATCCTCAGAAAGACGAGGTTTCCCAGGGTTAATGGAAACTGTATATGATAATTCTCCCCCAACGATTCTAGAGCATGAGTAAGCCTTTATATGCTAAATTTTGATTGTATTAATTCTTCTAGGCTAATGTCTTAGCTGTGGTATAAACTTAAGTTTTGGATATCTTGGTGCAGTCGTGTTATATGGCTTGGGGATTTGAATTATCGGATAGCTTTGTCCTACCGTTCTGCAAAGGCTCTAGTTGAGATGCGCGATTGGAAGTCGCTGTTAGAGAATGACCAGGCATGTTCTTATCCTTTTGATTGATCCTATATTTATGTTCATTTTTCATGGAGCTTTGCGAGGAATCTGAAAATTTGATGGTTTTCCAGCTTCGTTTAGAACAAAGGCACGCTCGTGTTTTCGAGGGCTGGAACGAAGGCAAAATACATTTCCTCCTACATACAAGTACTCAAATAATTCAGACAGATATGCAGGGGAGGATCGGCATCCAAAGGAGAAGCGAAGAACTCCTGCATGGTAATCAGAATTATCTACCTTAATGTTCATGAGAAGAAATTCTGACATGATTTGCTTTCACAATGAACCATTGATCTTATAATAATCATAAACAAACAAATGAGCTACCTGATATTTGTGAAGGTGCGATCGTATACTGTGGTACGGACAAGGCCTCTACCAGTTATCTTATGTTCGTGGAGAGTCAAGTTCTCAGACCATAGGCCGGTGTATAGTGTATTTTCGGCAGATGTCGAGTCTATTCACTGTAGCCGAATCAGGAAAAGCATGAATTGTTCCAGGGGCAGGATTGAGGCTGAAGAGCTGTTGCCACAGTTACATGGATACACTGAACAAAGTTTCTTTTGAGAGAATTATGTAACAATCCTTATTCCGTGCCACAGTTCCGGGAGACGACGTGGTACTAAGTGCATTCGTGTATAAGTGATCCATACACTTGCAATACATGTTCTGAAACTGTTGCTATAAATCATGTATCCGTTCCCTGTTGAAGTTTTTGAATTTGAGAATATCTATTGATTGTTCTTAATGGTCCCATTTTAGTGAGTAACGCCTTGGTGAGACTCCGACGAACGAATACAGTCGACCGCAACCCGAAAGAAGGTCGGTCTTTACTTTTATAGTTTGGATGTAAATTCTTGTCCTAAATTCAATTTTTTAATTCTCTAACATGGATTTTCCTTGCCGTAACAGGTTCAACTCTGTATTGTTAATAAATTCCTAACTCCAGAATGATGGCACACCATTGCCCGACTATCATTGATGACTGTTTTAAC